TTACAAAAGTGATTCATTCAAGGGCAGTAAATTACTTTCTTTCTGATATTTGATTAACATTATGGACACAAATGGCGACAGCAGCTTTATTTGCAGCTACTGTCACTTTAAGACCTCAGGGTCGGAACTCAAGTGCGCTGTGCAAAACCGCCTCAAGTTCACCATCATTTAAAATAATTTGTATCCAAACCACAATGATTAAAAACGCGTTTAATTTATAAACTTACATCATGATGTCTCAGCAAAATTTACATATTTCTACCGGATATATTATCGCCAGCCCTTTAGGCGAATATAGAGTTTGATCAAACACAAAAAGCAAGATCAAACATCCATCAAGTTAATAATCAAACTTACCGAAAATTTGTGGGGTCGACGATGACGCTGTGTTTTAAAAAATAGTCTAGTGAAGGGTGGAGGCGATTTATTGGTTGATGCGTAGCTATATTCTAATAAGGCGCAGGCACTCCAGGCAGCCATCTAGGCCTATGTGCAGCAGCAGGTCGATCGTTCACAAATTAAATATAGAATAAATGTATTATGTTAAATTAAAACGTGACGTTTCATTTCACCATGCCCTGTCCTGCTGCCCACGGGGGTTTGATTGACAGGCGACCTGGCCAATCATAACGCCGAATACGCAATTTTGTCCGACAACAAAGCTGTCAGTAGATGAACGTCGGTGGACTTGAACTTGAAAACGGTATTGCTTAAATTATTTAAATTACAATATTTGAAAGTTGAGACTGTTTCATATCAACAGTAGGCTAAGCTGCTCTGAACTCTCTCTCGTAGTCAATTGTGTAACGTTAGTCTTTGCCCCGCGATTTATTTTTCAGTGTGTGAGTGAGAACACGATGTGCGTGACTCGTGAGAGCCGCCTGGCTTGTCACACAGAAGTATAACTAAAAAAGGCGGGTCTTTGCGAACGGTCACTATAATATTAATGATAGTGATTCCATGATAATGCATGGAATATTCGGTAAAGCACTAAATAACAGGGCTAATTTGTGGGGGGCGTTGCGTTGTAAGGCTTTGGCAATCAGATGGCTAGTAGTATCTGCTCCACAGCCAATCACGGGCCCCCTCCTTGTTCGGGCCCCGGGGCTTTAGCCCCGCCTAGCCCTATTGTTAATGCGGCCGTGCACACATCCAAGGCGATTCGTACGTGAATGACGATTTGCACATTCAAATTCAAGGACACACTCGTACATTTTAAACATTCAAAGGTTTTTGTGCACAGTTGTATATCTACGAATTGTGTTTTGCATTTGTGAAATGTATTTTATGAATATATAATTTTATTTTGCGCATGTGAATTGCTTTTTGTGAATATATTTTTTTTTCACGCACGTGATTTTTTTTTGTGTGTACGTGAATTAGGTTTCACGCATGTGAAATTGTCTACGCATGTGTGAATCATGTTTTTTGCATGAATTATTAATGAGTCTGATCTGGCTCCATAGAGAAACGACTACTATCGAGGCGAATGCTTGTTATACCAGTCTCAAGCTAAATCTGAGAAACCCCATGACCTGTACCTCAAATGCAACCAGAACAGCCTTGAAGAAGATTTTATAAGCTTGTTCAGTGGCTAATGTTTGGAGTTAGAAATATATAACTTGCGCTGCATATTTAGTAATTTTGCCTCAGATACAGGATTATAGATTCGCTTTAACAAGCAGGTTGTTCACCACGGCAACCGCTTGCATATCATGCTGAATGCGATTTTCGTGTTTAAAAAGTAACTATACATAAGAGACGAAAAGATGCAGATAACCATACATTATTTAAGGTTATTTCTATTCGTTACGATATTGATATATGAACTGATGTTGTCAAGTAAGTTAAGCTTCATGCTTTCCCGTTGCGAACGTGCACTCCTCTAAACTGTAGCCTACGGGTGCTGCACAAGCGGCAACATTCTAATCTGAAAAATGAAGCCTACCCGGAAGTGCGAAAAACTGCAATACATCGAAAATCCGCTAGAGGGAGGTCCCAAAAGGGAGCAAATATCCATAGACCGCATGTTAAAATGTCCGTTTTCACAGCATAAATTTATATGTTTACATGTTGGTCCTATGGACTTTTATTGTATTTTTGGATAGGTCCCGAGTGCCTGACAAGTGACAACTGTGAGGGGGGTGAATTTTTTTCTAACTCGGTAGTTTAGATCGTATTTAGATATAAAATGTATGACAAATAAGCGCGTGATTGACAGCTGATAACGGGCTGCGCCGAGTGGAATTCCTGAAATTTGACGTCTCGGCCATGATCTGACACAACACATCATACCACCGCTGTATCCTTTCTGAACATTTGTATTTGAAATATCGTAAGATTTTCCAAGATGGCACCGCCCATACCCCCCATAAACAGCCTCAAAACCGTTCTTCAGAAAGTCTATGGGTGACGTCACAGACGCTTTGTCCATATTTTTTACGGTGCTGCACTGCTAGTTGACTGCTGCTTATTTTCCCCCGAGAATATCATGTTAACAACAACCCTTTAGAAAACGTAATTCCTTTGTGGATCCTCTGCTTTCATTCCTTTGTGGATCCTCTTGATCTGCTTTCTCCGTGTTTCCTTTGACTAATCTCAGTGTCTCAGTCTCACGCACGCTGCACGCGACTTAACCATGTTCGACACATTTAACTGGGAGTGGGGCCCATAGACATAATAAAAAATATTAATTTCATAAAAAAGATCTTACTGACGTCAACATTTTAAACCGTTATGTAGCCTACAGTTTTGGTTTGTTTATTGCGAAATAACTCCCGATTGTTTCTCTGTCATTGTCATCTAAGCAAGGCTTCGTTTCCCAAACGCACTGGGCCTGTGAGCTCAGCGAAGCACCAGCATCGAACGCTCTCTGTGATTGATTGGGTTCGTCTCTAGGGTCGTCCCGCGTGACGTCACGCCATTTGGAGCAGCCATCTTGACGGTATAGAAAATGCTAAACCGCCGGTGATAATACAGCTCGTCGCAAAATATTTCTATCATTTTCAAATACCAAAAGCTGATCTTGTATTTTATTTAACACTTCTTTAAATCGTTAGAAACACAGGTTGAGACAACAGTCTCAATGACAGTTTATCATACTACAGTGTCACTGCATGGTAGCCTAGTTAACGTTACAAGTATAAAAAAAGTATTATTTAGTTTTTCTTGGATCAAACTAGATTCAACAAATTCATTTAAGATACACTTAATCTTGTTGGTGATTTTGTTTTGTGTTTTTCCCTGTAAACTCAGTTTAAAAATTATTACAGGTAAGTTACTATAATTTGGTGATAAAAATACATTGACCAACCTTTGCGGTGATGATTTAAAAATCCTTCCCCGCTGACGTCCAAATCAAAGAGTTGCTGACCCATCCGGACTCGTTATATCGATAGCTTTTGTATGCTTTTAATGAAGCTCCGGTGTAGCGTGATGGTAAGTGAATAAGGTAGCTGTCATTCATGAACGATTCGTTCATTGCGTCTGTCCAACACGATCTCATGAACGTGCGTATCTATACCACGAATTTAATTTATCGTGCTATTTATACGCCAAAAATGTTTTTTTTGTTGCGTGCATATGCTACGCACTGTAATCTCTTGGGTAGGATTAGGGATGGGGATGCGTGCGTATTAGGCTACACGCTAAATAATAGGTGGATATGTGTTCGGGGAATTTGGCGGTTAGAAGTATAACGTTTAAAGCCACTTGACTTGAATGAACGAAATGACTCGAAAAAAGATTCGTTCATTTTGATGAACGACTTCGAACAGGAGAGTCAGTAAAATGATCCGAATTTCCCATCACCTCAATGTCAGGAAGTTTTTCCTACACATTTAATGCCTGTAAAAAGAACTTGTGGTGCTTCATGGATCTATGATTCCTAATTCCTTTATCTTCCTCTTGTATATTTCTTTTTGTGATGCTAATAATAAGTGCGATGAAGAGTTGTCTGACGGCCGCTGCGCTAATAATAGATAGTGGGGGGAAAAAATCGATTCTGTTCAGTATGGAGATATTTTGCGCACGCAAATACGTATTGCAATATTTAGGCTAATTATATTAATAATTATTTTATTAGTATAATAATATACTAATAATATATTATTACACCATATTATACACGCAATATCAATACTGTAGCGCAAAGTATTGCAATATTTAGGCTAATTATAAAATGATTATACTAATAATTATATTATTAGTATAATAATATACAAATAATTATATCATTAGTATAATAATATACTAATAATATATATTACCCACGGCTATTGCCGTTGAGTAGCTGACGGATGTATTCCGTCAAAATGGCTGACGCGCGGCTAGGGGTCACGTGACTGGGAGATCCCTATACAGATGACTAGGAGAAAAGGTTCTATCCTACACAATTACCCGCTAACATTTGCTTATTTTTCCCCTTAGAAACTTATTTTACGCACTGAATTGCGTGCTAAATTAATAAAAATTTACTGTTAAAAAATACACATTTGCATCGATATTTTTATGTAAGGATCGATCCTTTTCGATACAACGTCAGAATCGAAGTATCGATACTTTAGGATCGATCCGCCATCACTACTGTGTATTTATTATGTCTATTGCCCTGTCCCAAATGGAACCCTAAGCACTCGCGGTCTTCCTCTGAGTCCGCACTTTCGAGACGTAACGCCGGTTTGAATGTCGGGAAGAAGTCTGCTGTGGAGTCCGCATCAGCGCGGGCTCGGCAAAAGTGCGCATCAAGGGCGCAAATCGACCGCAGAGGGGGCGCTCGCGAGCACCCTTCTGAGATCTAAAAATGACAAATGGGACACACTACGGTCTCACGGACTTAACGGACACGCGCACGCGGCAGCCATTGTAAGTCCACAAGACCGAAAGTGCACATGAAGTGTGCCATTTGGGACAGGGCCTTCGCACACGCACCCATAGACTGCACGCACCGTGATGGCGTCACTGACAAACGCCGACGTATTACAACTTCCTGTTTTGGGAAGCGCTGAGTAGGTCTCTTGTTCGCTATCCAGCTAGTAAGCTTGAAGGTACAACAGGATTGCATAACCTGAGTGTCCGAGTGTGCGTACGGTGTTAAGGAGTAAAAAGTGCAACTTCCTGCGTTTAGTGAAACAATGTCGGACAGTCCGGGTGGGTGTTGTTGTATACTAAAGTGTAGTTAGCTAACTATACATTTACCATGCTAGTTTTAGACTGCTCGAATCGACATGTAAACATAAAAATGTGTCTCTCTTTTTAATTTCTCTGAAGAGTTTAGCTTAATCTGCATGCCTGGTTCAAACTATGAATGATTAATGCGTTTCAGGAATGTATGCCATTATTAAACGGCTGTTTAAACAGTTAAAACAAGGTCACCAGATTGTGTCACGACAGCCTTTGCTTAAAGAATGTATGTTCAATTTTGCCATGTCAGTCATTCATAAGTTATTCTGCTGTTGTTTTATAAAACTTGACATCTTACTTTAGTTTTTTTTTTCTTGTTATTACGTGATTTATGGTCTAACAACAAATATAACACCATAACCTTTCTTCAAGGGAAGGCATTCACTGTAACATGCATGTTATAATAAAATACTGTTTTTCAACTGGTTCCTGACAGATTTGCCACCAAGTGATGAGCAGAATTTAGAGATACAAGGCTCTGTTACTAATTATTCTTCTGTTGTGATGGCGGAACAGGAGAGTAGCATGTTTAATGACCAACATTTCTGTAAGTAAATAAAATACAAACTTAAATTGGCAGATGTTTTTTCAAAACAAAATTTAAAAAATGTTCCTTCTCTTTCATGTGTACCTTTTACTCTCTGTGTCTCCAATACCCTCTCCTTCTTGTACTCCTTGGTTTTTGGCAGACTGTGAGATGTGTCATCAGCACTTCATAGACCAATGTGAGGTTCATGGGCCACCATTATTTACATGTGACTCACCAACAGCTATGGGCATTCCTCAGAGAGCTCTGCTAACACTGCCACAAGGCTTGGTTATAGGTCGATCTAGCATCTCTAATGCAGGACTTGGGGTTTTCAACCAAGGCCAGACTGTGCCATTGGGGATGCATTTTGGACCTTTGGATGGAGAGGTGACCTGTGAGGAAAAGGCATTGGATAGTGCCTACTCTTGGGTAGTGAGTGTCAACCTTAATGTTTTGTTAATTGTTAGTTACAATTGTAATTTCAATATGTATTGGGCTAAACATAATAGTAATGCCTTTTTCTCTCCAGATTTACAGAGGCAATAATCAATATAGTTACATAGATGCAGAGAGGGACACTCACTCTAACTGGATGAAGTAAGTACTTCTATGCTCTTTTGTAGTTTATGCCTTTATTTTGTAGTTGTCTCAATCTTGTGTCTTCGCTTTAGGTTTGTGGTGTGTTCAATGAGTGAGACGGAACAGAATCTTGTTGCATTCCAGCAAAATGGACGTATTCTGTTCCGTTGTTGTCGCCCTATTAGCCCTGGGCAGGAATTTAGAGTTTGGTATGCTGAGGAATATGCTCAAGGACTTGGCACCCTCTGGGATAAGATCTGGAATAAGAAATGCATTTCTCTAGGTAACTACATCTAACTACATCTCCTGTGTGTAAACGTTGTGCCATATTATCAACTAGCAGGTTTTTTGGTAACACTTTAGAATACTGTTCCATCATTAATGAATAACTACACAGGAACAAATGAGTAACGCTCTATTAACATTCTAGTAACTACTATTAACTAACAAGAAACTCTGATTAACAAATTAGTAAGTAATAGCGCTCAGTTGAATTTGGTAGTTCACTATTAGTTAATTAGTAACTACTATTTTTTTCATACCTCCCAGAGAACTTCTAAGAACTACTATATATATATACACTCACCGGCCACTTTATTAGGTACCCCATGCTAGTAACGGGTTGGACCCCCTTTTGCCTTCAGAACTGCCTCAATTCTTCGTGGCATAGATTCAACAAGGTGCTGGAAGCATTCCTCAGGGAGTTTGGTCCATATTGACATGATGGCATCACACAGTTGCCGCAGATTTGTCGGCTGCACATCCATGATGCGAATCTCCCGTTCCACCACATCCCAAAGATGCTCTATTGGGTTGAGATCTGGTGACTGTGGAGGCCATTTTAGTACAGTGAACTCATTGTCATGTTCAAGAAACCAATTTGAAATGATTAGAGCTTTGTGACATGGTGGAAGTAGCCATCAGAGGATGGGTACATGGTGGCCATAAAGGGATGGACATGGTCAGAAACAATGCTCAGGTAGGCCGTGGCATTTAAACGATGCCCAATTGGCACTAAGGGGCCTAAAGTGTGCCAGGAAAACATCCCCCACACCATTACACCACCACCACCAGCCTGCACAGTGGTAACAAGGCATGATGGTTCCATGTTCTCATTCTGTTTACGCCAAATTCTGACTCTAACATCTGAATGTCTCAACAGAAATCGAGACTCATCAGACCAGGCAACATTTTTCCAGTCTTCAACTGTTCAATTTTGGTGAGCTCTTGCAAATTGTAGCCTCTTTTTCCTATTTGTAGTGGAGATGAGTGGTACCCGGTGGAGTCTTCTGCTGTTGTAGCCCATCCGCCTCAAGGTTGTGCGTGTTGTGGCTTCACAAATGCTTTGCTGCATACCTCGGTTGTAACGAGTGGTTATTTCAGTCACTGTTGCCCTTCTATCAGCTCGAACCCGTCTGGCCATTCTCCTCTGACCTCTGGCATCAACAAGGCATTTCCGCCCACAGAACTGCCGCTCACTGGATGTTTTTTCTTTTTCGGACCATTCTCTGTAAACCCTAGAGATGGTTGTGCGTGAAAATCCCAGTAGATTAGCAGTTTCTGAAATACTCAGACCAGCCCTTCTAGCACCAACAATCATGCCACGTTCAAAGTCACTCAAATCAACTTTCTTCCCCATACTGATGCTCGGTTTGAACTGCAGGAGATTGTCTTGACCATGTCTACATGCCTAAATGCACTGAGTTGCCGCCATGTGATTGGCTGCTTAGAAATTAAGTGTTAACGAGCAGTTGGACAGGTGTACCTAATAAAGTGGCCGGTGAGTGTACAGGTTTATAATTAACATGAATAATGCATAATTTATAATATAAGTTAATGGTAACCTACAGGTTATGACTCAAGTGTGATAACTCTAGTTCTGTCAGGACCACTATCGTCAAATACGATTGACAATCAGCATACTGTTAGGATTGGCGGTATGGTTCTGTTCTGGGCGAGAACTCCCTGCACATCCATGCAGCCTAGCATGGATTAGAGCAGCAATAACCCCCCTTAGGGTAAACAGAACAGAACCAACATGAATGTATTGCAGATATCATTAATTCAAGATTTTAAAATACAACATAATTCGAGAATTTATTCGGATTCAAGGGGAATCAGAATGCCAAATGCTGACTGGGCGAGAGGAGGAGCTGGGGATTGAGGAGGGTAATTCGCTCCTGAGAAACGCGATAGAGGCTGATAATACTGAAGAAGCTTATATATGTATACAGTGATAGGCGTCGTATTCCTATAGGTAGACGTGGATCAGCTGAACCGAGCTTGACTAACGTGACCTGCCAGAACTGACGCTACGCTTGATAGTAATTACTGAAGTCATTGTAAGATTTTGATATTTTTGTAAGATTTTGAATAGTAATTCCTTCCGATGGATTTGGTAACACTTTAGTCATTGCTAATTTGTTCCCATGATATTCACTTTACTGATACTGATCCAAATCATTAGTAGTTCCTTAAGAAGGATGTAGTAACACCTTCTTTTTGGAAGTATGACCAACATAAGAATTTTCACCGGAAAATGTCATCTGAACTAGTAAGAAACATCCACCTTTGTTCTGGTTCTGACATTGCAGTAAATCGCACTGATTAAATCTAACAATCGCTTATAAGTTATCATATCACGCAAAACCGTGCAAATTATACTTTGTTCTCAAATTGTTAATGTTAACAACATAAGCAAGCATTGCGTGATTACATGTAATGTCCTTCCGATATTATCCTTGTTTTCGCATGGGTCCGGTTGCAGTCTCTTTTTTTCTGTAGCCACTCCGAAGTCCGAACGAAGTCTTTTGCATTTTACAGCGGGTGAATCTGTTGTCACTGGTGATTGTCGTTTGAACCTTTCTGGATCCGCCATCAAATTGATAAGTTTAATTATATCAAGTGCTGTGAGAAAAGGCTATAAATCTCCACCTCCAGCATCCTCACACGCAATATAGCTTATACTAGTCGAGACTCTTCTTTATGTGTACAGATGTGACGTAATGACGCAAAGACATGCTCGAATCTCCCGTGGAAATCCACCAGTACCACTGGAATCAAAAACATTATTACAAGCTTACCGCTTTGAATCGAGCTAAGGCAAGCAGATAGTTTTGAACACTGGCTGGTTATGTATTTTCTCAAATATGTATTTTGGATCATTTTTAAAGGGATACTCCACTTTTTTTGGAAATAGGCTCATTTTACAACTCCCCCAGAGTTAAACTGTTGAGATTTACCGTTTTTGAATCCATTCAGCCGATCTCCGGTTCTGGCGGTACCACTTTTAGCATAGCTTAGCATACATCATTGGAGTGGACAAGACCATTAGCATTTCTCAAACAAAATGACCAAAGAGTTTCGATATTTTTCCTATTTAAAACTTGACTCTTCTGTAGTTACATCGTGCACTAAGACCGACGGAAAATGTAAAGTTGCGATTTTCTAGGCTGATATGGCTAGGAACTATACTCTCATTCCTGCGTAATAATCAAGAAACTTCACTGCCGTACCATTAGAGCAGCAGGCGTAATGATATGACGCAGCGCCTGAAAATAGTTCCGTTGTGTTAAAGGAAGGTGGCCTATTTTCAGGCGCTGCGTCATATCATTACGCCTGCTGCTCTCATGGTACGGCAGTGAAGTTTCTTGATTATTACGCAGGAATGAGAGTATAGTTCCAAGCCATATCAGCAGAGAAAATCGCAACTTTACATTTTCCGTCGGTCTTAGTGCACGATGTAACTACAGAAGAGTCAAGTTTTAAATAGGAAAAATATCGAAACTCTTTGGTCATTTTTTTTTTAGAAATGCTAATGGTCTTGTCCACTCCAATGATGTATGCTAAGCTATGCTAAAAGTGGTACCGCCAGAACCGGAGATCGGCTGAATGGATTCAAAAACGGTAAAACTGAACAGTTTAACTCTGGGGGAGTTGTAAAATGAGCCTATTTCCAAAAAAAGTGGAGTATCCCTTTAACCCCAAAAAAGCTACGGACTGCAGCTTTAATGATGGAACAGTATTCTAAAGTGTTACAGTTTTTTTTTTTTTTTTTATTCTGTAACTTTATTCGGTGGCATGTTCTAAAGAATGTTACATAAATGTGCAGTTAATTTGTGAAATTTCGCAAATGTGAAATTGCTCATAATTTATAAATGAGCTCATTATACAAAGGAAACAATATTATAGATTTGGACAAAGAGTTGCTTTACAGTTAAAAGAATGCCATGCACAGTCATTTTGATTTGTTGTGACATTTTTACTAACATAATTAGTTGATGCCACAAATAGTACAGTACAAAGATAGAGAGAGAGAAAATTACTCCTAAAATAAGCTTTCTCTTCCCGACTCAGGTTTTTTTTTTTTGTTGCTAAAGTTAGCTTCACTGGAGCGGTGCCAATCATTCAGTAAACAATATAATACAGTCTTTAGATGTAGGGGCGTTTACATTTTTAGAGAGATATAGCAAGTAGCCTAAAAATAGACTTCAGTTGCATGAATTATTGTAAATAATTAATTCACAAAATTTACCATATCCTAACTGCGTAATTTAATCAGATGCGTCATTATTATCTTTACTAAAATTCGAGCACTGAGTTAATCCAGATGATATTTAAGAATTCCTGATTTAATTCACCTTAGAGGGAAGCATGTTTTCCAACCGTCTCCATTGACTTTGCATTGCGAGAAGCTGCCTCCTTGTCATTTCTGACTTATAACAAAAAACAAAACAATGTCTAAAGGCTGCTATGTGACAAGGTGTACAGCAAACAGAAATAAGTTTTTATAAGCTGTCGACCCCAAAAAACGAGCGTTTAAGGATCCTGACACTCAGTATGCACTAAAAAATACACTACGTGTGCAGTAAACATTTTGTCACTGGTAAGTCAAATATCCAAATGTCAGTTTTATATATTATATTTCTGTAAGATAAGCTATCCTGTCGCTGATTACGTTCCCCTCCAGTGGACGTAGTTCTCAGAGTAATATGACACCTTGTGCTCCGTTTCAATTGCATGTATCCACTTTTGTGTCCTTAAAACGGTCGTTTTTTTTGGGGTCGACAGATTATAAAAACGTATTTCTGTTTTTTTAGCTTGTTTGCTGTACACTTTGTCACATAGCAGCTTTTAGACATTGTTTTGTTTTTGTTATAAGTCAGAAATGACAAGGAGGCAGCCTCTCGCAATGCAAAGTCAATGGAGACCGTTGGATTGCACCCCCGGTGTGGGCGTGGCCTAAATGCGCTCTGTTTCTATTTATTTCATCAGTTCATGGATTCCCTGGGACCTTGTCGTTGCTAGGGTCATGCTCTGCTGTTTGAGCTATTCTTTAGGAACACTGCCTTACCATGTAACAGCACATTTGAAGTTAACCTTTGTAATTGTGCCATAAACATTTCAGTTATTTACCTAATATAAGTCTTTAGGGCTTCCATACTACTTTGTAGAAATACAAAGTGACTAAATACAGCGACTGTAATTCATTTGGTGTTGATATCTGTCATGGCTTTTGGCTTTCCAGTAATTTGATTTCTTTTTTCAGGTACAACTGAAGAACAGGCGACTCAGGTCTGTTTATGTCCTCATTGCCATTACTCCTTCCCAACTATTTTTTATCTGCGTGTTCATGTGAAGCGCTCGCATCCTGATCAGTATGCGGACTTCATGCAGACACAGCCGCTTGAGTCCGAAGACCACTCAACAGTTATAGACATAGACCAGTGCCTTCTGGCCTCAGATGCAGCTCCTCCAACCCATATGCAGCCAATGACAGAAAGCTGTCAGGGTCAAATTTCAACCCTAAATGGACAACCCATTCATCACTCAGAAAAGTCAGACTGCACTGATTTGTCCGAAACATGCGGTAATGGTTTGAGTGACCAGGCAAATTGTGCTACTGAGATCTCGGATGAAATAAATAAATGTGGTGAGTGTGGCCGGAACTTTTTGAGATCTTGTCATCTGAAGAGACACCAGCGCACTATTCACTCTAAAGAGAAGCCTTATTGCTGCAGCCATTGTAAGAAGTGTTTTAGTCAGGCAACAGGTCTGAAAAGACACCAACAAACCCACCAGGGGGAGGAAAAGAAAGAGAAAGATGCTGACAGACCTTCTGACATATATCCTTGCACTAAGTGCTCCTTTTCTTTTGTGGCCAAATTCAATTTAAATCAACATCTCAAACGGCATCACCATGGAGAGTATCTCAGATTAGTTGAGAGCGGCTCGCTCACAGCAGGGACTGAGGGTGATACAGAGATGAATTCTGACAAGCATGACCCAACCTATGAACCTCCTACTCGAGAGAAGAGGTCTGCAAAGAACCCTCTGAGAGGCAGTAGTTGTCCAAAAAAAGTGTCTGTTGGCCGACCACGGGGCCGACCACCTAAAAACAAGCAAGCAGCGGAGGTTGAAGTGCAGAAGAGTTTACCTATCTGCACTGAGTGTGAACAAAGGTTCTCTGATTTGGAGACATTGAAAACTCACCAATGTGCTGGACAAGATAATAATAAGATAGGAGAACCACAGGAAGCGCCAGCTTCCCAGCATGTCTGCGGTGAATGCCTGAGAGCTTTCAGTAATTTTGATATTCTCAAAGCCCATGAGTGCATTCAGCAGGGAGACGGATCTTACTGTTGCTCCCACTGCAACCTTTACTTCAACCGCATGTGTAACCTTCGTCGCCATGAGCGCACAATCCACTCCAAGGAGAAGCCCTACTGTTGCACGTTGTGCCTCAAGTCCTTCACCCAGTCTTCTGGCTTGAAGCGCCACCAGCAGAGCCATTCACGCCGCAAAGCCCACCGCCAGAGCTCGGCCCTGGTTAATGCCACCATCTTTCCCTGCACATACTGCCCCTTCTCCTTCACTGATGAGCGCTATCTTTACAAACACATCCGCCGTCACCACCCAGAAATGAGCGTAAAATATCTGAGTTTCCAAGAAGGGGGCGTCTTGTCAGTTGAAAAGCCTCACAGCTGCAGCCAGTGCTGCAAGAGCTTTAGCACAATCAAGGGCTTCAAGAATCACAGCTGTTTCAAGCAGGGGGAAAAGGTGTATCTCTGCACAGATTGCGGAAAGGCCTTCAGCTGGTTTAATAGCCTCAAGCAACACCAGCGCATCCACACAGGAGAAAAACCTTACACATGTCAGCAGTGCGGAAAGAGTTTTGTCCACTCTGGACAACTGAATGTGCATCTCCGCACTCACACCGGTGAAAAACCTTTCTTGTGTTCACAGTGCGGCGAAAGCTTCAGGCAATCAGGAGATTTGAGGAGGCATGAACAGAAGCATTCAGGCGTTCGGCCATGCCAGTGCCCCGATTGTGGAAAAAGCTTTAGTAGGCCACAAAGTCTCAAAGCTCACCAACAGCTTCATAATGGCACCAAACTTTTCCCCTGCACTCAGTGTGGAAAAAGCTTTACTCGTAGATACCATCTCACCCGGCATCATCAGAAAATGCATTCCTAACTAAAATAGTAACAATAAGACACTAATGAATTTATAGATGTCATATGAAAAGTTTGTTGTTCCTGTTTTAAGAACATCTTTAGTTCTTTTTAAGACAAAATTATATAGCCAATGAAAGATACCGTTCATGTAAAAATGTTTAGACAGATCTGAACTTGGCATTTTTGAGTATAACATAAGTGGGCACACAATTGCTACGTGTAGTTGGTCCCCTGAGTTATTGAATCAAATGTGCAAAAGTCAAAACTATATTTTATTAATGACAAAATGTGTAATTGTTGAACAATATGTTCCTATGATCATAGTAAAAAAAAATGTTACATTTATGTGTTGCAAGATGTTTTCTTTTAGTCAAGAAACTTGGAAGATGGGATAATTAAGGTTTTTGTTATTCCAATTATATTCATAGACAGAAGAAAATATTACATTCTTAAAAATCAGAACCCATAAGAGTTTGCATAGATGCATAAGTGTATTTTTTTAAGATATCATGTCACTCCATACAACAGAAAATTATTTTAATATTTTGCTTTTAGCTTATTTTAGGTGCATGCCGAGTATAGTTTATTTCCATATCAAATAAAAACCTTGCATGGATAACAGCATTTCACCATGCTTAACTGTGATTATGATTTTTTTCATCAGTCTAGTTTGCCTTTTACATTTTATTTTAGTTTTGCTTTGGTTACAAATGGGCCTCCTAAAAGAGAAATAGTGTGATGCTCATTTGTACGCTGTGACTGGTTGCCGTCATGTGTTTTAGCCATAGTTGTATCCTGTATAAAATACAATGTGTTTATTGTCATATGTGCGCAAACAAAGTAGAGAAACAAATCTTCCACCTCTGACCCCAAGAAAAAAAGTTACCTTAACCATACTAAAGAGCTGGTTTATTAGAATGATCATGATATAATTATGAAATCATTAAAAAAATAAAAAAAAGCCTACAAGTACAAAATTCCAAAACATGGGTATACTGATTTCTGACAAATGCTTTTAAAGATACCATAATAATCACAAAACTGTTTGTTTACAGGACTGAGTGTCAAGCTTTATACATACCATCTGTGTCATTGCTCCAAAACCGTATTTTAGGGGTTAGAGACTATTTCAGATAGCTTGAAGATGTTTGTGAGTTCTTGACATGCACATTGTTGCTATGCAAATGTCATGCCTCCTTGGAAACAATTTAACCCTCAAATGCATTAATAAAATGAAATAATTGAACCAACTTTGTTCTTTCTCCATCTCCCCATGAGCATAATATTTTAGAAACAAAGAGTTCTCTAATGCAGAGTATGTTTTAAAAATATTAAATTAAATGTAAGAACTGTATTTTCTCAATATGTACCACAGAGGCAATCATATCAAAATATAAAAGACTGAGCAAAGAGTATTACATTTACAATGTCAATGTAAGATGCTTGGGTTGAAGAGGAAGAGAAGCCTCTGGTATCAGGCATTTGAGGACCGAGTTTTTTTGTGATTAATGATTATACATTTAGAATGATCGGACATCTTTGTCAACACAAAAAATAAGTTGTATCAATTCGCTCCCTCTAGAGGTTAGTAATGCACATGGTCACGTCTGAACTGCAAAGCAGTCTCTCATCATATACATCCAAGCTTTATATAATCAAAGTGGCTCTCTTGACAGATTTAGTAAGTTGAAAAGTTTAGGACTACCATTATGTCCATGCAATTAAGTTATTTTAAGCATATGAAAGCCATATTGTACCACTTAAAGAAAACAAAGCAACCTTGGTTACAAATCCACAGTTGACTTTTTATTTCATAAAAGCACATTAACAAACCACATGAGTGTTTTTCATACAAGCATTGCACTGAAAAAAAAAAGTTGTTTACATGCCTCATCGATTTAATTTAGTCCCGGTGTAAAGACTAATGGTGACACTAAATCTACAATCACAATCATTTATAGTTTGTGGTTCCTTCATACATTTCACATGATTACGTTAACAAAATGTCTTGCTTCCTATAGGATGTGAAATTCACTGTCGTATCTAGAACATCTTTCTCCAACAGCTAGTCTAGCTGTGCTCTGTATTAGGTTAAATTATATTGAACAATTCATGAGGCAGGTTTACTCCAGGCAGTAGTATGTAGATAGTGTCCTTTTTTTTTTTTTTTTTTTTTTTTTTTTTATATATATCCAGATTTCATGAAACTATTGTGGCCTCTACAGGTCAATCTCTTTCAACTGTGTTTAAATGAAAATAACATTCATAAAAAAAAGAACGAAGAAAAAAACTATACACATGTGGAGGCCAGTCCCATAATCATACATGTCTGGTATAGCTGAATCAAAGAACAGTTCCACTGATAAAAAGTAAGTAGCAAACACCTTTTTTTTTTTTTCTGCCTCTGTAAAGAAGGTTTAAGGGGAGGTCGAAATGAACACTGGAGAGTGGCAACACTGGAGTAATACTGAGGAAAAAGGCAGCAGTTGGTTTTTAAGGTTCAAGTCACCAAAACCTTGCACAAGAGGTATAGTGTGAACTGATATAGGTAGAATAGAGGCAATTGGAGTGAGAGAAACCCCTTTAAATCTGGCTATATATATATAATAATAAGGCTATGCTAAGTATGTTGTTTTTAATGACCACAAAATATTAGCTGAACTACATCCTTGACTGGTTCTTTAAGAGACCATTTATCATTTCGAGTGTTTCCTATGTTCCTCAGGTTCCGTCCATTCATGAATGATGTGCTTCCCATTTTATACTAATATATACTTTTAAAGAATCTAGACAAATCATACTTGTTTCATCCCATTTAACAGTGCCTCCTAAGGACAGTCCTAAGAAAGACATCAGGATAAAAGGAAAAAAAGAGTAATGAGACTTTTAAGGTACAGCAGCAAGTGGCAGGTCATTACTGGAGTTTCAGAAACAGATGTCTTCAAACACGAGACGTTGTTTTCACCGCTTGGTTCAATCAGTGCCTCTGTTTCATTAGTTTCAGGACTGAAACTGGAAAAATATTCCACTGTAGTGTTTTGTTAATGAAAGATCAGTCTTCTGTTCTGCCACATTTATGTTGTTAACATAACTTAAAAAAAGACAACAGAGTTTATTGTGTACATTAGATTATTACAGTAACAACTTTGGCAAAACTATCGATGACAGCCGAATCATTATCTAGAGTTAAATATAAGGAGAATACAAAGGGTTTTAAAGAGCAAACACTGCAGGGTAAAACATTTATTCACAATACTAAGAATGAATAAAGAAAAATCTCTAAAACCATAAAAGGCCTGAAATAAAGGTATGAAGGAATGAAACTTACTAACAATAATTAAATGGACAAAAGTACAGATTCTCTATTTCCCCAGTTCCAGTACATTTACATTGAAGTAGTTATTTAACAATTAATAACTTTTACGATGGATCCAGTGACTTCAACTCCTCGACCTGTGACCCAAGATCTGTTACCTGTATAAAGAGATATTTCATATGACTCAATTTGAATTGTCTAAATAGCCATATTTATAAACTGTATCATTGATGTATTAGTAAGCAAAAGGATTTGATCATTACTAAATATTATAGGAATGTGATCACTCTACCTTGTCTTGGAGTTGATCTGTTTCCTCCTTATGTGAAGCTTCAGTCTCCTCTAGAGTTTTCTGCTGAGCTGTTTTCTTCTTCAGCAACTCAATCTCCCTGTATGAAAAAATGGAAGGAAAAAGACATTGATTAGATTCCTGAAGTTGAATTTAAAAAAAGGAAAAAGATCATTAATCTATTGGGTGTATATAATTATCTTGGGCTGATTACTAAGAGAAAAATCTCATTTAAAACACATTTGCCAAGAAATAAGTCCTTAGAAACGCGATCTTTGTATTCATGTTGGTTTTATATAGTTCATAGCATTTAATTGCATATAGTTTATAGTAAGGTTGTAATTTTCACTCTATAATGAAAAGTAAAGATGTCCTTGTATCTGAGATGCATGTGATGTGAACATTTTTGGTAAAAGTTTTTTTTCTTTAACAAATAGGATTTTTTTTAAGAAATAGATTATAACAAACTTTTGCTTCCGTTCGTTCACTTTTTGTTATCGTAGAAGAGGTGTAACCAACTCATTTCATTTTGAATAAATTCATTGATCCAAACAAAAATGAGTGTCACATCATGGACCCTCTTACTGTTTATACAAATTGTAAAGGTTTTTTGTGTGTTTAGTACATGTCTTCTAGAATGCTGCTATGTAATGCTTACTGAATGTACAGTATATTTACATGTATTTATTGTACATAAAATGAACATTACATTACAATTAACAAATAGCAGGTGAATATGTGAACTTACTTTATATTAATCTTAAAAAAAAAAAACTCAGGGTTAAAACTAAACCAGACCTTTATTAAGATTGTGGATGTGGATTAGTATCTGTGTGTTTTCTCTCACTTTTGCTGATACTCTTTTATAAGGCGTTTGGCCTTGCTGTATTTGCGCTCTAGAGCCTGGTATTGAGCCTGTGTTTCTTTCAGGTGCTCATCCACAGCCTGGCACAGACTCTGCGCCTCCATCCAATATCCCTCCAGCTTCTCCATGCGCTCCCGATTCTCCTGCATGTTATGTTCCATCTGGACTTTTTCAGCACGCCAGCGCTGCTTCTCCTGCTCTGCATGATTCAGCTTAACACATAAATGCAAACAGATGATTACATTCTTAAACTTATCATGCAAAAAGTAACATAGATCAAAACTTTACAAATGTGGAAAACCAGAACTCTTTGTCAGAGGAATAACTTTCATATGTGTTCTTTTGAAAAATGTAAAGGCATAAAAATGGAAATTCTGCCATTATTTACTCACCCTCATAGCATTATTACTTTTGTAGAACACAAACCAAGAAGTTTACCAAGAAAGTAAGCCATAATACACTGATAATCTTCCCTTCCACCAAGCTCTAAAGTCTCATTAAAACATATATATATTCTCACATTCAAACTTGGCGCCTCAAGGCGTGTTGTATCAGGT